CCTCACCAACCTACTGTTAAGCGAGAAGGTGAACTTGCCATACTTAATCTTTAACCACATGCTTACTACTGCAGAGAGTTCAAACAGGAATCTTCGCTATGGGATGATCCTCACTGTGCTATTTGAGCATTTTAATGTGAATTTAAGTGAAGAGGTGGGGTTAAGAATCTCAAGGCAGGAGTTCTATACTGTTTCATCTCTGAAAAAGATGGGCTTTGAGCTGCGTAATGGTGAGTATGTCAGAGTAAACAATGCTCATGGTGGTGATGATGATGATGATGAGGGTGATGAAGGAGCTCGAGACGAGCCAATGGGGGAGGCACAGAGTTCAACTCCACCGATCACCTTACAGCTTGTGCGGGAGCGCATGGATGGCATGTACGAGTACATGCGCCAGATGTCCACCCAGATGACTGGCATGCACGACTACATGGGGCAAATGACCGCCCAGATGAGCACAATGCAGGTGACCGTGAATGAGATGCGAGATGAGTGGAGATCTTTCAGCGGAAGATACATGCATCCCACCACATCCGACCACCTTCATGCTAGCACCACCAATGAAGAAAATGTGGATGAGAGAGAGGGGGGAGATGAGTAGGAGAAATGAGTTTTTATATTGTGTGTTTTAGTGGTCAAAACGATTGTTGAGTGTTATTCTGTTTTTTTGTAGTTTTATTTTTATGTGTGAACAATTATGATATTGTTTTATTTTTAGTTGTTATGCTATGAATTGATGAGTCCTTGTTATAATTATGACTAATTATGATGGTTTGAAACATAATTTATACGATTAAAAGAACCACACAAATCGACATACATAAGCAAAAAAGACACGGGGCATAGGGTGACTTTCTTGTATTCGGTCGACCTCGTAACGGATTAGGTCGACCGCGAAACCAACACTTGATCTTGATTTTACGTCAATTAATTGGACACTTTGATAGAACACTTATCTTCTATCTGGTCGACCTCTTTCATCATCCGGTCGACCATTTTGTTAATGACTGCAATCAAGTGGTCGACCTATATACCTTAGGTGGCGACCATGTTGTTTCTGACGCCAACGAAATGGCCGACCCAGGTTTTATTCTGGTGGACCAAAAATATCAACTTAAACTAAGTGCGGTCGACCAGGTGGTCGATTCGGTCGACCGCCTTCAGTAATAGGTCGACCGAAAAGTGCATGTCACCGTGACATGCATGTCATAGTAGGCATACCCTAATTTAGGTTGTTGGGAGAGGTCTATATATGATACTTTATCACCTTCTTACGCGCCCTTCTAAATGAAAGTCGATTAATGGGTTTGAAGTTTGCACATGCCCACCATACCATGTGCTTTAAAGACAACGGTTAATATTGGGAGTCATGAGAACTTAAACATGTGACCTCAAGGACAAACCAGCTCTAATACCATATCATAAACTAGCTAGTCACAATAAATCGAATTGTTGGGAGAGGTCTGTGTATGGTACTTAACCACTTTCTTACAGGAATCGGTGGTTCTAAACCCATATATAACGGGTAGGCTCGGGGGATGGCGAAAGCATGCATAATTATGTGTCATTTTGTTATTGGATGAAATCTTCATATTATTCTAGGATTCGGGACCAGGGGCGTAGCCATGATTTTACTGAAGGTGGGTCTGAAATAAAAATATGTACAACTAAATTTTGTTAGTGTTTACAATAATACACAATGGTTTTCATATATATCTCGGAACATTATTAATCATCCAACTTATTTAAGACACCACTCTCAACATAACCCACTAAAAAAATTCAACCCTTCATCATTCATTGGACTCTAAAGTTTTATCCTTCATGTAGTTGATATCTCAATGCAGAAAATACTTTTTCAACACTTGTTGTGGCGACTAGTAACAATAACGCCAATTTCACAAGTCTATCACTAATGAAAATGGTCAGAGTTTCTCTCACAGTAGCATAGTTTCGTTTGGGTAAGAGAAGGCAAATAGAGAGTTAGGGATTGAAATTTGGAATAAACAATTACATATATGTGTAAATTTTAGTTTTCTATAGATAAATGATACATATGATCAAGATTTGTTGTATCCTACCGGTAAATTCTTGAAGCTCACAACCTGCTGCGCTGTGTTTTCCAAGCTGCAACATTCAGATATACCTATTTTGGAGTTCTTTTCTGGAGGGTGGGTCTCCAACATTCAGATATACATATACCTATTTTGGAGTTCTTTTCTGGAGCTAAGGTGTATCCCGAAACCCACTTATTTGTTCTCTGGCGTCGCCTTTGTTCTAGACATGTGAAATATTTTCTCTGCATGAATTGTTCCATGAAAAAAAATGATTTGAGATAAAATATTACCATTAATAATATTTGCAACTCTTTTTCACTTAAAAACTAAAATTTTGGAATATTGACATTCATGTCTCTTCCAAGTTAATATTACTAACAAAACTGCTAATTGTAAAACTTTTACCTAATATTTTGTATTTTGAAAGGTTTTGCTAATATTTTGTATTTTGAAATGTTTAGCTAATATTTAAAAGTGTGGAAATATTTAGCTAATAATTAGTATCTGCCTTAAAGGGAGGTTACAAAATATGGAAGCTCTGTTTTTAGAATCGGAACGGATACTACATCGAAAAATTTAGGGTTTCGCGTTTATTGATTAACCGTTACAAAATCGTTGATAAAACCGTTCATTATATATATTATACAAGACTTGTATAACCTTCATCAAAAAATATATTATACATGATTGGTATAATATATTAATTTAAAAATAAAGTTATCATTGACCATAAACGATTTCAAATTCATATCATTACCAAGATATCTAACAAATCATTCAAACCATCTCAATAAAGAAATTATAATTTTTTTCATTCGAGTTATAAATTACAGTGTCAGTGGATTTTGGATCACATAAAGTCGACAAAGAGGTTGGAAAATGCAAAGAGGAAATAGAAATAAAATTGACAATTCTTGTTTGCCGTGGCATAGCCAAAAATTCTTCTAAGGTGGGTCAAACGTAAAAAAAAATGTATGTTTCAGGATGGATTCATGTTTTAAATTTTTTTAAAAATACATTCATCATGAAAATTAGAGATGTTAAGCTTTCACAATGAAAAATCGTTCATGATTCTACAACTCATCTTATTCTGAAGTGTTTTTTTTTTTTACTTTGCTTATTGCACTAAGTGCCTTTCAATACTTGCAATGACAACCGATAACAACAAAAATTCATAAGTTTCGAGTTTTTGTTTATTTTAAATTCACTTACAGAACATACGATTTTAAAAGTTAAATAGAGATCACAAAACATTACTATTCGTAAAATTATTTACAATAATATGAAGATCTTGTATTCAATCAATGATCACATACACATATTTACTCCACAATTTTTGGACCAAGGTGATGCAAATGACTCACATTGGCCTCAAGTGGCTCCGCCAGTGCTTGTTTCATGGACTTAGTTTACGTTAAAGTGGTTTTTTTTTTGTGGTTAAATAGTGAAATAGTGGACCAGTTAAATCATGGTGGTTTATATGGTTTTATGTTGAACCGTGAAAAACCGTTTGATCCACTAATAACTATCCAAATAATGAACTGGAACGCTATCGTAACTGATTTGGTGCTTCTACTGCCCCAACCATTAATCTGGTTCGGTTCTTATAACAATGAGAATAACCAAGTAAAAGAAGGAAAAAAAAAAGTTGCGAAACAATGGGCTCTAAATTCAGTTGGAAAGGAAAAAGAATTCAACAAATTGACTGAGCAACAACATCTGGAACCAAAAAGCAGTTCCACTTTCTGCCTAAATTCCGTTCTTAATTTTCAGGGGAGAAGAAGCCAAGCCAAGGGTGTTGACCTAACCTAACACATGCTACATTCAATTCTCATAATTATTGTAGATTTTCCGTTACAATTACACATTGAATATTTGTATGTTTTTTTGGAATAAAATATATGGAATCACACCTTAAAACCAACGTCGAACGATGTGGATATGAATAGTACCCGAATTAGTTAGGGTAAGATAATAATGGTAGTTTCAATTCTTATAGTAGCATATCAGAATTGAGTAAAACAATTCAACCCGAAAATGATACAAGCTTAGTCAATATAAAAAGGGTGAGAATTGGGAATTTAGTTTTCAATGTTTGAGTGAAAACATTGTGGAAGTTAGAGTTTAATTGGACTTTGTTTTAAATGGTAATTACATTTATGTTTTAAAGATAACAACAATTGGTTTATAGTGCAATGAATAGCATTTTTTCTGATAATTATAGTGTTTTGGTTTGAATCACAAAAAATATCACCTTTCTTTTTTCTTTTCCTCCAAATTTAAAGTACTAACAGGAGATCCATCAAATTTTAGGGTGAGAAATGACTCCGGATCTCTCTGAAATTCCTCCGGTGACTCTGGCTCTCACTCCTTCCGGCCGGCCACTGGACACCTCGCTTTCATTTCCAGCAAAGTCAATAGCAAGCAGGCCATCCGTGGTTCACGTCGCAACAGATTCTTTTCCAATGGCGATGGATAAAAGTTCCTCGGAGGACGATAAGACTGCTTCTACTCTAAATCTTCCCAAGCAGCCACTAATCTTGTACGCTAAAGCGTTGACTGGAGTGGAACAGCAAGGGGCTCTTGCAATCCAGGAGCGGACTCCGGTTGGGGAGCATAATTTGGTCCCCGGACAGGTGAACGGAGAGCCAGCTCTTCGTATTTCTACTGGGCTTAAAGGGCGACTCTGCGCTCCTTGGCAAAAAAACCATGGTGGTTCGCATTTGTTTCACCACTCTCTGTTCTCGTCTTCGAGGGGTATGGCGACCCACAGGAGCGATGGAGATTATGGATTTGGACGATGCCTGTTATCTTGTGCAGCTGTCCAATGATTAGGATTATTTCAAAGTGCTCACTGACGGACCATGGGTTATTTACAATCACTATCTTGCAGTTCAGTAGTGGACACCGAGCTTTGGGATTCTCGATCCCCTGCCGAAGACCATGAAAGTATGGGTTCAGTTACCAGCCCTCAAGGTTCACTTTTACCACCGCGAGGTTCTTACTTACTTGGGAAACCTCATTGGCCGCACAATCAAGCTCGACAATCATACGATCAATCGGCAACGTAGGAAATTCGCTCGCTTGGCTGTTGAAATTGACATGTCCAAACCCCTAGTTCCCCGCATCTTCTTGGACGATCAATGGCAGAAAGTGGTGTACGAGAACCTACCGATGGTGTGTTTCGAATGTGGAAAAGTTGGCCACAACTCGGATGACTGCAACTTGCTCTGATCGGCGGTAGGGGTGGGCAACGGGACGGGACGGGATACCCGTCCCGTTTAAAACAGGTACTCAATCCTATTTGGAGAGAAATCTCCATCCCATGTCCCAAACCCGAACGGGTTAATGGGTACCTATTACCCGTACGGGACGAATAACGGGTATCCATACTACACGTAAATACCCGTACAATAGATACATCTTTGTCTTTCACTTTTAATTTTAGATGTCTTCTCTGCCATCCATTATGCAATGCAGATGCATTGTTCACTAACTTGGAAGGTTTTCTCGGGGAGGTCTATGCTGATGAATCAAACCCTATTTCAATTAAAAATATATTCTACACTTGGAGATGATGGGTGTCGTACTAAATACTAATCTTGGTGATAAACAACAACAACAATAACAACAGCAGTTGATGAATCATATATGAACTCCACCACGTCAGCAGTGCAAGGCCCTCGGCTCCTCAATCCCACTCCTGCCTTCTTTCATCTCCACAATCACCAACCTCATCATCGTGAATTAAATTGATCATCTTATATATATACACTCTATGCTAAACTCTATGTATGTTGTCAATCCCTTTTGGACTAATGGGTATAACGGGTACCCGTATTACCCAAACGAGTACTAATGGGTAATCCGCGGGTACCCAAAATAGTGATTCTTGATCCCAAGTCCCATCCCGTAAAAACATTTACGTGTATTTGGGTACCCGTAACCCTAAAAAAACGGGACAGGTACGGGTATACCCAAATACCCGTTTCCCGTTGCCCACCCCTAACCGGCGGTAACCTCCGTTCAGCTGAATATTGCCGATGAGCAAAATCTGCCCAGTCCCGTTACCGTTGGGGATGAGTATCAGCCGGGTTTTGGGCCATGGATGCTAGTTTCCAAGAAAAGCCGCCGTAATTCTAGGGATGCGTCAAAGAAAGGAAAGTCTGAACAAATCGTGGGGAGCGGAAGTCAAGAACAAGAAAGCAGGCACGGGAAAGGGGGAATTAGAATCAAAGATGGAGAGGAGTCCCCGATCTCATCAGCGGGGGCGAAGAATCAGGCCAACCAATGGGCACAAGGACAAGAAAGGAAAGGGAATACAATCCGAAATGACAAGGAAATTTTGTCGACTGTGGGTAAGGGGGGTTCTAAAGGGAAAGAAGTTTTGCGGGATGGCCAGGATCTGGGTAAGGGGCTTTTGGGTTCCGGCCCAACCAAGGGACTAAACATGACCGGTCGGCCTCCTCCCACTCTGGATTCTAACAAAGCTTCTTCGTCAGCTCAAACTCCCGCTTCTCCTAAAGAGTTGGCTTCCCGGTCAAACCCTCTTGATCCTCCTCAAGGAGCTGGGCCGTTGGCGGACAAGGGATTAGGGCCCATTAACCAACCAGCTATCCAAATGGTTGTCGGGCCAAACGACACCAAGATGCAGATCGTTTCAATTTCTTCATCCCCAAAGATGAGTCGGCAACCCAACGCAAGGTCTCCATTGGCGGCGGAGCGAACGAAAAGCAGAAAGGGCTCTCCGCGGCAGTCAAAGAAGGGAACCCCGGTGAAACTCCAGGCTTCGAAGGCTCTTCACGTATGGTCCCCCGTGAAAGATAGGAAAGTTAAAGCAAAAGCTCGGATGGCGTCCCTTACTCTTCAAGAGATCAACGCCTGGACTGGGGCGATGAAAGAAGCTAATTCGAGCCTGGACCAGACGGATACCTGCTTAGTCCCGACGGAGAACTCTGCCTCGGTGGGAGACCCGGCCACTGCTCCTGCCTCTTCGAATTAACCCGGTGTTTTCATTCTTGACCCTTTCCCCTTCTCGTTCCTCTTTACTTGTCTGTTTTAATGTCTTTGTCTTCTGTTAATAATCTTAATATTCTTTCTTGGAATGTGGGTGGCGCTAGGAGCAGAGCCTTCTCTCGTGCTCTTAAGCTTACTATCCAAACTCATAAGCCTGATTTTGTTGTTCTTCTCAAGCCGCAAATTAGTGGCAACGCGGCCAACACTGTTTGTGACAGGATGGGTTTCCCGGATGTAATTCGTGTGGAAGCTGAGGGGAGGCAAGGTGGAATGTGGATCTTTTGGGACGCCCGGCGCTTCAGGACCCAAGTCATTTCGGCCTGCTCCCAACATATCACCATCCGAATTTCGCAAAGCAATATGGCTGATTGGATGCTCACTACGGTTTATGCTTCCCCTCGTCCTAGCAGGCAGAGACCTCTCTGGGACAGCATTTCTGCTCAAAGCAAAAGTATTGACATACCTTGGATCCTCACGGGGTACTTTAATGCCATCAGAACTCCAGCTGAAAAATCTAGAGCTGCGTCGGTGGCTACTTTGCGGAGTTGCCGTGTTTTTAATGAGAGAATTAATGATGCCGATCTGGTGGATCTCAGATTTTATGGCCCTAATTTCACTTGGACGAGGGGAGAAGATACGGGCACCTACAAGGCTAGCAGGATTGATAGGAGCTTATGCAACATCTTGTGGAATTCTGTCTTCCCCAACACTGTTGTCTGCCATTTGGCCTACCTCAACTCTGATCACAACCGCATTCTCACCTCTTTTGCTTCCCAGGGGCAATCTCCACACCCCCTTGTGCCTTCAAATTTGAGGCGGCATGGCTTACTAATAATACTCTTTTGTCTACTATTGCAGGTGCTTGGGACTCCTATGCTCCATTGCCGAACGCGCTCTTAACCCTTAGTTCGGCGCTTCAGGCTTGGAATAGGGATATTTTCGGGAATGTGCAGCAGAAGAAGAGGAGGTGGCTTGGGCATATTCGAGGAGTTGAGATGTGTCTTTCTGAAACTTTTCACCCGGGGCTGGATAAACTTCTTTCTAAACTCGAAGCAGAGCTGGATGCGGTTTTGGAGCAGGAGGAGCTTATTTGGTACCAGAGGGCTAGGGAGAGCTTGATCAAGTTTGGAGAGCATAACACAAGCTACTTTCATCAACAAGCTAACATCAAGAGACGCAGGAACAGGATTGCTGCGCTTCGGGACCATACAGGAGTTTGGATCGATGATCCTCAAGCCTTGGCTTGTATGGTGTTTGATTTTTATACTAACCTTTACCTGCAGGATAGCTCTCGTATGAAGACAGGCTGCCAAAGAACGCCTTTCCTTGCCTGGCTCAAGGGGATCTCCTTTCTCTGCTGAGACCATTCACCATTATGGACATCTACAAGGCGATCTTCGAGATGAAGCCGTTTCAAGCTCCGGGTCTAGACGGTTTTCATGTTGCCTTGTATCAGTAGGCCTGGAGTGTGGTTGGGAAGTCCCTAACAGATATGGCTCTGGGGTTCTTCAATTCAGGTGTTCTACCCGACGACGTCTCCGAGTCAACCGTTGTTCTCATCCCCAAAGTCGATCACCCGGAATTTGTGACTCAGCTTCGTCCTATCTCGCTTAATAACATGAGCCTCAAGGCAATTGTCAATGTTATCACTAGTAGGCTGAAGCCGGTCATGAGGAAGCTGATCTCCCCTTGCCAAAGCAGTTTCATACCTGGTCGACAGACAAAGGATAATGTTATAGTTTCTCAGGAGGTCCTCCACTCCCTTGGGAAGAGGAAAGGAAGGAAAGGGGGCCTAATTCTGAAGATCGATCTCGAGAAAGCTTATGACATGCTCTGTTGGGACTTCCTTTGTGATACCCTGAAGGAGGTGGGGCTCCCCAGCTCTTGGATCCGATGCATCATGTATTGTGTGGAGCAGAATAAAATGCGCGTGTTATGTTATAACACCTTGTCCTCCCCCATCACCCCTACTCGTGGAGTTCGTCAGGGAGATCCTCTTTCTCCTTATCTCTTTGTTTTATTCATGGAGCGATTATCTCATATAATTGATGCAACCCTTCATAGTGGGAAATGGAATCTCATTAGGCTCACTAGGAATGGACCGCCACTCACTCATCATTTTTTGCAGATGATTTATTGCTCTTTGCAGAAGCCGAGACAAGGCAGATCAGGATAATCAAGAAGTGCCTAGATGATTTTTGCTCTAGCTCTGGGCAGCGGGTCAACTATGCTAAGTCCTTTATGTATGTGTCACCAAATGTTGATAGGACCAAGGCACGTCTTTTGAGTGAGCGTGCGGCGATTCCCCTGAAGACGGAGCTTGGGACATATCTTGGCATTCATGGTATTGATGGGTGGGTGACCTCAGGGAGATATCAGGGACTTCTACTGCGCATTAAGAAGAAGCTGGCGTCGTGGAAGACTAAGCGGTTATCATTGGCCGCTCGGCTTACTGTATCCAGGTCTATCATTTCCTCTCTCCCCACTTATCATATGCACACGGAGTTACTGCCTAAGGGGGTTTGTACTTCTATTGATCGCATTAACATGAACTTTGTTTGGGGCGAAGAGGAGGGGAGATCGAAGCTGCATCTTGTTGGATGGAAGAAGATGATTCTGTCCAAGAGCCAAGGTGGGGTTGGTCTTCGCTCTGTGCGGAATGCCAACCTGGCTATGCTTGCCAAGGGTGGTTGGAGACTTCTTAAAGAGAATGACACGCTTTGGACGCACTTGGTCAGGGAAAAGAACTGCCAGAACAAGGAGAACCTAGATCTTTTTTGCTATGCTCGGGGAAGTTCCTTTACCTGAAAAAGCTTTACTAAAGCTTATTCTCTTTTAAAGGGAGGTTGTGCTTGGAATATTAAGAACGGGAATACCACTAAATTTTTGCATGATTCCTGGATTGTGCAGGAACCTCTCAAGAATCTGGTGGTTGGAGAGATCCCTAGCTCGCAAACTGAAGTGGTTGTGGCAGACATGGTGACAGATGAGGGAGAGTGGCGCACCTACCTGTTCGAGGACATCCTCCCCCAGGAGATCCAGCAAAAGATTACCGGTGTGGCGGTGGATAAACTTTCTAGCGAAGAGGACACTCTTTTCTGGTCCTTATTTTCCACTGGAAGGTTCACCACAAAGACGGCCTACCAGTATCTTCTACCGCAGGAACCAGATCCTGACGCCAAGTTTTGGAAGATCATTTGGAGCCTTCCTCTCCTGGAGAGGATCCGGTGTTTCATGTGGCTGGTTTGTCTTGGCAGAATTGCGACTAATGCGCTCCGTTTCTCCAGGAAATAGCCGCTTCACCTAACTGTCCGCGGTGTAACGGACAGGTGGAGTCTTTTCTTCACATCCTCAGGGGCTACCCTCCGGCGGCGTCCTTCTGGACGAGACAGGTCCCCAGCAATAGACAACATGGATTCTTCTTGGCGGACGCTGCTACTTGGATGTGGATAACTTGGCGGCGAACGGGAAAGAGCACCTGGGGGTCGAGTGGGCGACTTTCTTCAGCATCACCGCTTGGCTCCTGTGGAAGAATAGGAACGACATATGCTTTAAAGGTATCTCATCCACTCTCACTCCTCCTCCCTTGGCCCACTCGATTCTTGCTAAGTTCAAGCTCTGGAGTGAATCTTGGAACGCCCCGTCCTTGCTGTCGTGCGGGAAGATGGCCCCTGCTCCCTGGATTATGGCGGACATTGCTTGGAGCTCGCCTACGGACGGGTGGGTGAAACTTAACATTGATGGGGCTTCTAATGAAAACCCGGGGCTTGCTGGGGCTGGAGGCGTGTTGAGAGATGGGGTTGGACAGTGGATTGTCGGCTTCGTGACCAAGATCGGAGAAGCATCTGCAGCTTTGGCAGAGTTATGGGCTTTCTATCATGGTTTGGATATTGCGTGGAAGTCCGGGCAACGCCAGATCGTGATCGAGTCAGACTCTCAGCTTGCCATCCAGTTACTTAATGACAGGCATGATCCGGTTCATCCCTATGCCACCCTGTTAGTAGATATTCGCAGGAGAATTAGTCGTGACTGGCTGGTGCGCATTGTTCATGTTTATCGGGAAGGGAATAGAGTATCGGACTGGCTCTCGAAGCACAGTCTCGTCTATCCCTACGGTTTACATGAGCTTGGACACCCGCCATCAGGAGTTGTAGCTATTCTTCAGGACGATATTCAGGGAGTCTCCTCTGAGCTGCGGATTGTTTCCCGCCATGAAAACTCCTCTTCATCCCATCCCCCCATGTTATCTTTCTCGTTCTTGGCTTTCGCCTCCTGCTATGCAAAAAAAAAAACAAATTTTAGGGTGAGTACCATAGATCCACCCTTGTTTCAAACTCAAATTAGTATTGGGTTTCATTAATTTTCTTCACAATTTTAAGGGCATCCCCTGATATTCCTAAGATGGCCTAGATCTGCCCCTACATATATATGAGAATGTATTTAGAAAGTTGGATACCGTTGAATTGGCAGTAGATCAATATGATGACAATTTACGTACAAAATTATCGCCATATAATCACAAAGTATGTCGCGCTCGATACAACGACGCCGAACTATTATGAACACGTTCTCACCGTTTTTTTTTTTTTTTTTTTTCCTTCTTCTTTCTGAAGGGACCGTTTTTTGAGTTTTGGACTAAGATATCAAAATTTATGCTGAATGACTAATATCCCCGTAACAGTCCCAATCCCCAACACACGTATTTGCTTCTGCAATCCCCCTTTTCTTCCCATTCCGTGCCCTCTCAATGTCAACGGTCTAATTAATACCAATACCACCCCTTCTCCCTCTCTTTCCTTTCTCTTCGCAGTTCGCACCATATAAAGCCAGAGTTAATTAGCTACGCCCCCTCCATTCTTAACTTGCTCCCAAAGCAAACCCTCCATCAATAAACCAGGCGAACAACAAAGGGAGCAGCTGAAAAATACCAACAGGGAGAAGATTGAGAATAAACGAAGAGAAAGAAATGAAGCTGATATGGTCCCC